TTTTACTTTGGGCGTAATTTATTCAAAATTTCAGACCACATGTCATTCCCTTGAGTATTGTTACTTTACTTTCGCTTCGTTCTTAGCCAATCAGAAAGCAGTGACAAATAGATTCGCACATGCTCCTTTGTTTCTTGACGAAGACTAAGAGGACCGCAGGCTCAAGAAACAAAAACTGACTTACGATAGAAACACTTACTTATGAARAATATTATCAGCTTGCGCATGCGCGGTATTTAAATCTTTTCCTCCCTGTTTTTTCCCAGACTCTGGTCATCTGTACGATACGACGCAGGTGGACATCGTGCTGCTGGATGTGAATGATAACGCGCCGGTGTTCATTCGTCCACTGTTTGTTGGAGGTAAAGAAAATAACGAGTATTATTAGTGTGAATAATAAGTGAAATAAATGAAGTGCTTTCTTCCATTTTTGATAACAATCATCGGGCGGAATTTGGAGCCTGAATTTCATTTATTTGCATTACTGGTTTTCATTTTTTTACAAGGGAGGAAAAACGGGAAAATTAGATAGTTACTTCAAACAAAGGCTATACCTCCTTCTGGATATATATATATATTTGAAAACACAACGAAATATTTTTTTAACATGTTTAATCAGGGATACCCGAAGGAGCAGAACTAAATACTTACATCATGACAATATCAGTGAGTATCTCCAAAATCTGAATATTTACTGCTTTTCTTAATTATGGYTGTCTTTCTTGCAGTCACGTGACAACAAGAAATCACGTGACCTAGTTTTCGCGCGCTTCAAAAAGGCCTCGATTTCATGCAAAGGCTTGGTCGCAATTGAAAATGGCGACTCCATCTCCGTAATATATTAACATATTTTCTATCGAAATCTTTTTTCGAAGGCTACTGATGCTGACGCTGGTAATTTCAGTACTGTATCATACCGCATTAAGTCAGGCAACGAGGCAGGATACTTCAGTTTGAACACACAAACTGGTCAAATATTCTCTGCGAGCCTCTTCCAGAATAAGAAAGGTCAGCGGTTTACCTTACGAATTGATGCGTTTGACAATAATGGCAGAGATCCATCCAATCAAGTATCAGCACCAGCACTCGTCAGGGTTAGTATCATCATATTCTGTTAACGATTGTTTGGGTCTCAGTCCTCAAATTCCTTTGGTCTGTTTTATTTTTAGATATTCGTTTTACTGGAGGAACAGCGAGTTACTCTAAAAGCCGGAGTCCCTCCGACTCTCATCGAGGAAAATCGAGATGAATTCGTGAGGTAATCGGTTTTTCTTCGTTGTTCCGAGTCGTTGTTTTACAATCTTTACCACATCTTATCAGTTCCAGGAGATATTTGCGCAAGCTTGATTCTGCGCAAATTGCAACACTAGAGTTCGGCTCTCCCCTCTCCCCTTGGGGTAAAAATGGAACTACGAGAAGTAGTGGAGTAAGTAATGTTTTTATTACTTTGTATTTATGTATTAATAATGAATGATTTGATATTACAGTGTGTTGAGTAATATTACTGAGGCAGAGGTTTACATCGAGCAAGTGTTTAAAGTAGATTCAATCAATGCCAAGGGAGAAAAGGTTGTGGAATCAAAGGTTTTGTTTCACGCGGTGAAAGAATCGACGCAAGTTATCATGACTAGTGATGAGGTTATAAGGTAAAATTAGGTTTTTATCCTATCCTATAGTTTCTTTCTTCTTACCTTGCTTTCGTAGTCTTTCTTGCTTCATATCCTCCGTCTATGTATCTATATATATCCACGCACATCCATGCATCCATACATGCATCCATGCACCCTCCCATATCTGTCATCCATTCTTGCATCCAACTTCCTTATGGAACACCATGTTCTTTCGTGATGCAGGACCATCGATAGGTATAGGAGTCAGCTGGAAACAATGTACGCCAAGTGGAAGATCAAAGCCGTCACACCCCGACCAAGAACAGGAGGCGAAACCAACACCCTCAGTGATGCCGTGCTCGCCCTCATTATCCTGGGGTCTCTCGTGGTCTTACTTCTGATTATCATCCTCATTTGCGTCATCAAATCTCGCTGCAGGTAAGTCACGCCACTAGAACTGGAGAACCGTACCCAGAGTAAACGTATAACAATTTGAGTAYATCCATCTGCAATCAATATAGCAATCTGCGGTGCACTTATATATCATCTATCTAAGTTTGTGATTATGATTATAATTAATGATTATAAAATTATCAAAAAATCATTTCATGTTAAAATGAAAATATATAAAGTTAGATTCTAACAAACTTATAGCAAACACTAAATGTCATTTTTTCTAAAAGTTCTGAAAAACAAGAAATGTACCGATCTCCTGAGCCCGCAAGACGATTCGCAACAGGACAGCGCATGTAAGTAAACACTTGTGTGACAAACCTAAAAGTTCTTCGCGACATTCGAAAACAGGCAGTCATATTTTAGATCGTCTTGTTTGTACACAATGAACGTCTGGTCAGCAGACAATGTTAAAATAGAAACCCTCGTTTGTTTATCTCATGTTTTCATGTGCTTAGTAACCGTGCACCCTCGTGGTCCTCTTATGATGACGTTGTTACCATTGGTACAGACAAGGAAATAACGACTATAAGGTTGGATATAAGAAAGCTATTTTTTTGTGTATGTGCATAACAAGTGCTTTTCACATGCGTTGATTCAAAGCTCTGATCTGGACCCCTAATTTTTTTTATTCGTTTGTTCAACCGGTTCCCAGTGTTAGTTATCTAYGTAACTACAACTTCGTGTCTTTTTTTCTTCTCTGTTTTAGAATGCAGCCTGAACGCGACAGCTCCTTTAATAGTACACGTAGTGGTCGTCATGGTAACACCTATTCGTCATACCTACTGAACAAAAAGAGATTGTAAGTAAAGAGCCACTGTCCTGTTATATTCAATGCAAACCAGTTTCACAAGGGTTCAATTAGCATACATGACAACAAAACTAATACCATGACCATTTCCTTCAGGAGCCAATCAGCAGACGACAAGATCTGGAGCGAAGGTGATTACTATTTACAGGTATTATTAATAACTAATGAGATACATGGGTTTTTCCTAGAATCCTTTGCGGCACTAAATCAAAAAACTAGTAACCAGGTTTTGTACCATCACGTGATGGAAGCCTCGACAGGAGAAACAATAATAGAGATTTTTCTCCTGGGAAACTGCATTCTTTCTTATGTCAATCAGAATAGACCTGATTCAACTGTTCATGCCTCCTGTCATGGCTGCCATCACGCGATGGTGCAAAGCCTTTATTATTAGAGTTATATGCTTGAGCAGCAAAAGGCAAATCCAGATGTGATGAATTTTTGATATATATTTTTTATGATTAATTATCAATCAATTATAATTAATTAATATATTCATCTCGTTACCAGGACTCCAAGACTGACTCGTATCTCGATGACGACGGAGGCTCAAACAAAAGTGACGTCAGTYGCCCCAGTACCTCTCGTAGTCCACGGGACACTGCACTGACAGCCGAAGGAATGCCAAACACTAAGGTGTAAATAGTTGTCATTTATCCATGGCAATAGAAGTGCACCGCAGACCTAAAGATTCATAATGTCATTCAAGGATTGCCACTGATAATGTATAATATTTCCCCCCTGTATTTTGCATGTTCTTTATTTGAATATTCCCCTTCACACTTCCCTGCRCCATCTTGAAAGGTAGTCGTGCCTTTGAATCGAAGCGAGACGAACGGTGAGCTTGCAATGATAGAGAAGCGAATAATTGTCCAAGGTGTTAAAAAAGGTCTCTATCATTGCAAGCTCACGGTTCGTCTCGCTTCGATGTAAAAGCACGGCTATCTTTCAAGATGGCGCAGGGAATTGTGAAGGGGACTATTTAAAATGTAAAACTAAGTGTTTTTATTCGATAATCTTCTTAAGTCATGAATGCACMCAGGAGTTTTGCCACAAGTGGACATACTTGAATAAAAATTATATCGTGAGAGTTTAATGTTGTTTTCACATGTTTTTTTGCCCATCGGCGTAGTTGGTGTCATTTTCAGCGGATATTGCTCAAGGGTATTTATTCATCAGGTTAAAATCAAAGATTGATAAAGAACTGGTCATTGTGTGGATACATATGGATAGGATGACAGGGTAGGAAAACGACAAGCCCGCTACTTTCACGATTTTTWAAATTTAACTGAGTTTAATACTCCAAATTTTTAAGCGTTTCATTTGTGTCACTGCTGCACGAAACTTGTGACGAAATTTTGTCGAATTATGAGAGTAAGTCTACTTAGTATTCGCGAAAATGTCAGTTTTTCTGCTGATCAAAATATCACCTCTTCCAAAGTACACGGCTTTATATCTCAAATACGCATTCAATAAATTTTGGTCGCATTTGATATTTTGCTATTTAAAAGAACGTGTTTACAAAATATTGAGCTTAAATACGTAAAGCTATCCTTATTGCCAAAGGCCAAAAACCGTTTCGTAGACGTAGACGTTTCTTGGATTCTCTTAGAGCCCTTCGTTTAATTGTAAACGCGAGTTTTGTGAAAAAAGGATTGATCTAATTTACCTCACTTAATCCGTCCTATCTTAACCATATGATTAACATCCAATTACCAAAACAAAGTATAAATATAAACATGCCATTCAGGATTAAGCCAAGGCTACAGCCAAGGTAATGATAACAGTTCCATTACATTTTGGATTAGATGTCGGGTGTGGATTCGCGCGCGTGTGGTCTTTATACAGACCAGTTGCAAAATTGACGGCTTTGGCTCAAGAAAAGAAGACTAGAGAATGAGATTTCCATAAGTCGTTTTCTTAAACCACTGCGGGAGAGAGTCATCAACTATGCTCGACGAGCAAAGCTATATATAGAGATGAATAATTAACAGCGAATGAAACTTTTGCTTCTTAGTTGTGCGCGGATTCAGACTTAAGCAAAAATAAAATCTTGAAAAAAACATTCTTTGAGGATTTTAATTGGTGCTTTGTTTGATTTAATAGTGCGATGAACGCCGCAAAAAAGATTCCATTCAAATCCTTGTTGTAAAGAACTCCTCTTGTCACACTACCGACTTCAAGTCGCGCCATAAGAACTACTACCGACAATGCGAGCAAACACAAAATCTCAATTGTCGGGAACTACAAAATATATGAAAATGTTCCCGGAAAGGATTATTTCGTTCCGGTTTTATCCTGGCGCTTACAAGACGAACTAATGATCAGCTGTTTCTATACCACGAGGTATTTATAYAAGTGATAAATAAGTAAGAACCTTTAAAAGGAACTTGTGATAATACTAGCTTATAAGAACTTAGAGGTAAAATGAAATCAAGAAGCGGACGTCTTGATTACTAGACGCCGGTTGCCAATTGCAGCTTTATCATTATCATTATCATGACTTATTGCGCATGTGCCAGGAGTCGCATAAGGCCTTCATATCGCTCGTCCAGCCAGCTCTGCTCTGCGCCACCAATTTAGCCGCATTCCAGCTAGTCCAGACGCTGTACCCTCTCCTTTGCCGCTCCGCTTAAGTTTTTGGGCTTCCTGTGTCGCCGAAAAACAAAAGCGGAGCGGCAAAGGAGAGGGTACAGCGTCTGGAATATATTCCAGCTTGTCCATCGCGCCTTGTCTTGTTTAAGCTTGGTGCGCGCATAACGACAGAGTAATCCTCATACATTATGATTATTGTATTTGATATCGCAGATGAAGTACAGTGAATTGTCAACTTTATAAGTATTAGGGATTACGTCGCTACGGAATAAARATCTCGTATTTCTTGAAATCGATTTTAGGAATAAGGTTACCAACCACGTAATATTTACAATCAGCTTTATGAAGTCTTTTAATTTAATTTTTAATTTAGTTACGCGACTGACAGCCCCGTTTTTCTTTCCAAATGACTTTTTTAACTCGTGGAATATTTTTTGGGTAATATACCACAGCAGATGTTGCCAATCAGAACATATGTTTTAACGTTATACCATGTTGTACACCATGATAAATTTCAGATATTTTGTTTTATATGTCACTTCACATATGAGTTAGGTCAGTATTCCCCAACGAACCAAATCCAGTTAGGCCAAATGACCACGTGTCATTCTCTTTATTGAGTTGTATCCATGTATCTTCTCATGCGCAACCCTCAAACAAAGAAATAATACTCTAGGGAATGACACGTGGTCTGAAATGGTAAGCATTACGCCCAAGTAGATTTGGTCCATTTAAGAATAAATCACAATTACTAGTTTACCATGGTAGCTTCACATGTCGTATCACAATCTTAGTTATATATCATGCTGTATATAGTTTTAATGCATGATTTTCATGCATGCAGCATCCAGGTTCGCATGGTGAAAAACCATGACTACCACGCACGCGCAGTTCATATATTGGTACTATCAGTTTGTATAACCTTTGATTTTCTCATTTGGCTTGACGAACTTTTCGTACTGTTTGGTCTCGAGTTCAACTGTCTTAGTGACTTCACGACGGCTCTGTGTTTTCTCCTGACGAACAGTGACAACGTCTTGGAAAACTTTGGTATTTTGATCGAATAAACGATTGGATTCACCAAAGAATTTCCATAATGTAAAAGTTTACTGAAGTAAAACGCTTCGTCAGGTAGGCCCTTTTGTCCGCCACGAAAGAACACGACAATATTCAAAATATAAAAAGGAACCCACGTGATTAAAAACATCGCAGTCACAATACAAAGGGTGGTTAGAATGACGTCATGGTCCAGTCGCCGTTGGCAACCGCTCTCAGGGTCACGCACATTGTCATAGTAACTATCAATCGAGTCGTTGAAGCGACGTCTTGGCTTGCGCGGGCGCTTACATATTTTGAATTTTAGTCTTATCCAGATGAGGCTGTAAGCTATACATATAATAATGAGGGAAGTGAATATGAAGACGATGATTAAGTAGAAGAAGAATCTGACCTTGAGTACTTGGTATGACCATAAGAAGTAGAATATGGAGATAAAACCTGATAAAATCCAAGATAGCGAGACCAGGAAATGGTAAAGACGCTTCGTCACGATGCGATGCTTTAACGGCCACAATATGGCGTAGAGACGTTCAATCGCTATGATCGTTAATGCGAAAATCGACGCAAAACCAGTGAAGATATCTACAGCCACGTAGGAATAGTAGAAGTCCATAGGAGTATATTGTCCGTGTTTCCAGTAAGAAACCAACGTGTACAAGTACATCGGGATGGTTATGCAACCAACGAGTAAATCTGCTACTGCCAGAGATACCAGGAAATAGTTGGCCCGGGAACGAAGAAGTTTCTTCCTGGTAAATACAGCGATTGTTAAAGCATTACCAACAAAAATGGCCACAGCGAGAATGCCAAACGAGCCAGACCAGACTACTAACTCTAGGAGGCTTAAAGATTTACTTCCGGTTGACGATGATTGGTTTGGGAAGTCACGTGTAAATGAATCTGAGAGATTGGGCAATTTCATTGGTGACGTCAAGGGCTCTGATTGGTTCCTCATTCTCACGCATGCGCAGTTATTCTTCTTGTGTGTTGTTCACGTTGTGTGTTAACTCAAGTCTGAAAAAAAAAATGATGCAGCATTGTTGATTAATAAAATTATCTGCGCATGCGCATAGATAAATGGCATAATGACCCGGAAAACAATGGAATTAGARTCTACTACTCTGTATTATACAAACTATTTTTTCACAGGAAAAGTAAAATTCCTCTAGTACGTTGTAATATTCATTAACTGTCATGTTTTACTGTTGAGAGCGGAGTGAATACARCAATAACTACAGTAGGTATTTCTATGTTAAGCGTACGCACACCTTAGGGGCCGTTGTAACTATAGCCGTTAAATAAAAGGTGTCGGCCTAATAGAGGTTCGTTTAACTGAGAGTAAACTATGTAAAGACAGTTTCGGGACGGTAGAACTAGCTGTCCATTCAAAGAAAGGTGCACGTCTACTTAATAAACGTTTCGCTCAATAAAAGTGCTCGACATTTTATGCAGTTGTCGCTTTGCTTAAACGCATACAGGTATTTTAAACCAATCGCGCGTTTAACTCCTCATTTAGCTCTTTATCGAGTATGACTAATAAAATGAAACTTAAATAATGACTAATAAATAATAACAATCACATTTCCTAGCCGAGGGATGCATGCAGCCTTTGGTTGTGTGTACTACTTGAGATTATTTTCTATTTTTACTCTGAGGATTCGATCTTAGTCAACAGCGTTCTACAGTTCTGTACTATATGGATCGTTTAAACGAGTATTAATATTATATGTGTGGCCGTCTTGATGCACAAATCATCAATGAAATAATAAGTAATAAGAAAAATGAAGGAAAGATTGAGTTCTGTTGGCTACCCTTGCAAATCATGCTTATCAAGCTATCCACGAAAAAAAAAATTTGCGGAGTAGATTGTAGTATCACAACTACTTATTATAGCTCTACTATACTGAAACTCATCTTATATATTAAACTATATAACTTATATATTAAAAAAAACACTTGAATTAAAGTTCTTCCTTAGAACGAAATAAACAGGATAAAGAATCGTTCTTGAAGTAAATATTAAAAATAATTTACTCACGATATATTTCGTTTATGACAGTCGTTATAACACAACATCGTGCATACGACAAAGCACCGACTGCTCATAGACTGCTCATATCCATGCAGCAGTGTTTTCGCTCACTGCAGCTTCGACAAATCACCAAAAATCACTTATTTATTTCTATATTTATATAATGTTATTCTAATGATTATAAATTTATAAATCGATGACCTTGAGATCAGCGTAAGAAAAAGAAATGCCCCTTTGTATTCTGAAAAGTAATCTTCTAACAAGCTCTCCTGTTAAAGCTTTACCCATAGATTTTAAATTTACCTTCAAATAGATATTCTGAGCTGACGGCCGGATAATTTATTTATGCTTCGACGTCGAAGTGGTGTTATTTCTTTATTTCAGTCATAAGATTGTCTTGGAGCTTTCAATCCCTTGCTTGATTTACTTTATCATTTCTTAATACCCAGGCTTTCTTCCATTACCTTGCCTTGATCACTATCTATATATAACTACTGTATATTTAGACACAAGCTTCTTGGCTCCAAAAAGCGTTTCCTCCTCGCTTCGCTCTTTCTTTCTTTGTCTCTTCTCGAAAACAAATTTCTAGTTATAAGGCAAAAGAATCCTTTTTTTTCAATTTCCAATACGGAGCGCTCAGAATTWATTTATCCGTTGTAATATCCGTGGTTAAAGTGCGACTATTCGTCAAATGTCAAGACTTAAATTGAAACAACCCGTTCCTCTAATTATATGCTTTGCAGCTCTCGAGATTTTAAGAAACATTAATTACTTTAAAAAGTTACTTTGAGAAACGCGGAATACAAAATCCACTCAAAGGACGGTTAATAAAAGCTTGTTCATTTAACCTATTAGCGACATGCTCAAGTGGCCTAAGGCTCCCAAGATTTTATTTCAAGAATATTGTTTTCCTCTGATAATGAATCAATGTATTTACTGTGTATCTCATGTGGTGATTTTCTCAAAATTTTGAAGGCTTTCTATTCCTGTCACTAAAAGTTCGTATCTGGTTTGTTGCATGACATAACTCGACTGATGGGATGATATCCTAAATCTTCATCATCCGGTCTTAATATCTGTAATCACATTGGTTTGGAAGTATTGTTTACATTAGCGTTCGGATATACAACCCCTCGCTTTCTTGCCCCTGGAGACAACAAATCTATCCATATCCATCAAGGAACCTTTATGTCTTAGGCGGGTTTTAATAAGATTTAAGATTTTTTTGTTCTCGTTGTATTCGGAAAATAAACATAATATTCCCGGTTCATTGTTTGTTGTGTCTATTTGCAATGAAACACCTCCATGCAAAAATATCGCATGCAAAATGAAAATGGAATAATTTTTCATTTGTATACAACAAGTAAACCCCGTATATTTGTTTTGGAATATTGTCGAGATTTTCAGACACCCTTTGCCGATATTTTTAGATTTTCATTTTTTGTTATTAATGGCGGTCCAAAGCTTTGTAAGCAATGTAATGTGCCTATAATAATATGCGTCTATTTTAAGGGTTCTGTGAACACTGATCATTGTCATGGTAACCGGACATCAAGATGGATACAAATTTACCATTAGTAAATGATCTAAGCAACTGTTATAAATACATAGTTACGGTGCATTAATAATGCCGAGTTTTAACGCTATAACCGAGTACCAAATCGCTCTCCGTTGTAGTCCTTATTACAGCGGTTGCAATCTACCTGTTTTCTAGCAGCGTTGCTATGTACACATTTCGGTTAACGTTTTTCTATGTTTATACATCACTGATTAAAAAATTCAAATAACACAAACATATAAGTTAATTCTTTCGGAGGGAGGAAAACCGGAGAATCCAGAGAAAAARCTTGAATTTGAAGAAAACCAACAAGCGACTGTAATGTGTGACAAGCTAGCTAGGTACTRAATTTAAAAAAAATAAGACTCATTGACTCCGACGAAGGAMTAACGTCCGAAACGTCAGTCTACTATCTTTCGTATTTACGGTGATAAAATTATCTACTACGACACATTTGTTTCAACTAAAAAACACCGACGCAGTCCAAGCTAGTTCCAAAACCAGTCGTTATCTAAAAAAATAAGAAATGAGGAGAGCAACTTTTAAATCAAAAGACCAAATGCAAAATAATTTAAAAAAGAAAGCGAGGAAAAAATTTAAAAAAAGAAAAAGAGAAAAAGAAAAGAAATGTCAACAACAAACGAATTGAATTAGTAAGCTTAGGATACCTGTTCAGTAATATTATAGCCTTGGGCAATCTGCGGTTTAGATGAAACAGAATTAGAAAATAGGCTCTGAAATAACAGAGACCATTAGTCTAGGGTCTAGGATAAAACATGTACCATTAATGACCAGAATTATGCCAAACTATGCTGTTTATTTTATTTGTCAAATATAATAATAATAATAATAATAATAATAATAATAATAATGATGATGATGATGATGATGATGATAATAATACTAATAATGATGCTAATACTACTACTACTAATAATACTAATAAATACTAATAATGATAATAATAATAATAAATATTAATAATAATAATAACAATAATAATAATTGTCGCGTGATCGAGGTTAAGTTATGATTTATATTCTAGTGTATTAATTTGAAAGTATCATTAAAAATTCATGAAATGCTTTTTTTACAATTCATATTTCCTTTAATTTTTAATCAACTTTATTTTGCTATTTTGAAGCATAAGCTTTTCTCACATAATTTGACAAGCTTTTAACAACACGAAGCAATTATCATCTACATTACAGCCCATGAGATATTAGTAATGCTGAACTTGAACCAGATTGATAGCTTAACTTAGATAATCTATCACTGTCTTTGCTTGTAGTTTTCTGAGGACCGACTAAGCTTACTATTGCTTTTTCATAATAACCTTTTCTATTTCACCTATCATATTTCTCTAACAGTATCACCAATGCTAGGTTCTTATTTTTTTTCAAATGTATTTTGCTATTCTCGAAAGAGTGGTATGCACTGAACTATTTAAAAATGGTTGTTGGAGACATGGGAGATTGGCGAAAAATCATTCCAAGACCAGTACAATTAAACACAATTGTCCGAGGCCTCTAAAATGGTTTCGAGCAACACTGGATACCTCAACACTAGCCTCCGTGTTCTTGACGAGAATAATAAAAAACACCAGTCATTCCAGCTATTCTTGCCGGAATGTCTTATCGCTCATCGTCTTTGCTCCAATAACCTCAGTTTTTTGACTAGATACACCTACTTGCAAGAACGTTGTCATACGAAAATAGAACATTAGTGATTTAGTGGGATAGGAATTATATTAAAAAACAAAAGAAGATCACTGAAGCTGAACTTTTTCATTTGTCTTTTAATGAATTCCTTTCTCACTAAATTACTAATGTTCTATTCTTGTATGACAACCTTCTTGCAAGTAGGTGTATATCGTCTTTATGCACTTAGTCATAAAGTGCGATTCTAATTAATGATAATACATTGGCGTTTCTTCAATACACGATAATTTTTATTTCCTTTGCTTGCATAATTAATCGCAATTCCGCCTTCTTGTTATGACTTTCCTTTGAATTTAGAAGAGTGAGGTGCCTTTGCGTAAATTGTTGTGGTGCGCACAAGGCCTACGAAAGTAATATACTAATATTGCCAGCAATTGTTTTTGTGCATAGCTATTTTGAAAACATATCATAATATTTTTACAAGAACAGTCATTAGTGCAATTCTTAACTAATTCATTCATCTAACTATTCCATAAGCTGTCACAGTTGTGCAAGGTTATTAAGAATATTTYACGGCTAGGTTTTCTAGAAGACAGCCAGACAATCGGTTCATCGCTACTAACTTCAAAACATATCATAMAATATTTTCTGGGAGCTGTCTTACTGACTTACATGCAAAATTATTTCAGATAAAAATATAGAATATTTCGTTGGACTTAAAAAACATTACTTCAGCTTTCTGTGGCGTATCTTTCTCGGCATT